CTTCCTCCCTTCCTCCCTCTGTTCCCTCCTCTCTCCTCCCTCTGTTCCCTCCTCTCTTCCTCCCTTCCTTCCTCTCTCCCTCCTCCCTCCCTCCCCCTCACAGTTTGGGGGCCACTTTAACGCCTCCAGCCTTCTTGTGCGTCTCTCTAAGCCATGATATCAGGATGCTGTTTGTCTCCGCTGGCCTTTCCATCTGAGTCCAGTGTCCACACTCCTCGATGTGTCCTCTGCTCAGGTTCGGGATCTGCAGTCCACCAACAGAGACCGGGTCAGATTCATTTCCAATAATCTATAATCACTCTGTCTGTCTTCAGGAAGGACGCTGCTGTTTTTCTCACCAAGTCCTCCATCCCTTTGGAGAAGGCCGGCAGCAGAACCTGGTCTTTACCTGCCGTCACCATCAGAGCAGGCATCAGCAGCTGAGCACACACACACAGTGACAGACAGACTTTCTTGTGCATCTCAGTCCTCTAAAGTGGAAATAAAAATCAGTCTTTGAACTTGAAGTCAAAGCATCAGTGAGCCTCTCTGCTGCACTGGGTCACATGTTCCTTCATCACCATGAACACACTCTGTACTTTATTCTGACTCAGTCCCACACACACCGTCCTGCTGCCCCAAACCCGCCACCTGTGGATTCATCCGCCGCTGAAAATAGTCCCTAACAAATGCACTGCTTCCTGTCTGTTGGATAAAAACCACAGTGAGCAGCTGCTTTAGGAAACAAAACCGCAACTAAATATCTGTGAGATGTTTTTAAAGATTTCCGTCTTCAGTAGGAAGCGACGGGCTCGGAGCTGAGGGCCACAGACAGGAAGTCAGACGCTACTAAGCCTGCAGAAACCTGACTTATACAGCAACATCAGAAACAGGGTCGGCACTTTTTAGGGGCAAATGTAAATTTCTCTTCAGCTGATCTTCGTCCAGCTGCTGCAGGAACACAAACACTGTGACAGATAATCCAGCAGCCTGATGGTGACTTTGATGTTCACCTATATTCTGACATTAAACCTTTTCCAGCAGGACGATACGATATGTCGGTTTCCAGAAGTTTAAATGAGCTGAAAATGCTCTAAAACCCAGTTTTAGAGCCTGGTTTGTTTTCTTAAATGTTTGTTTGAGATGCTGGCGTCTCATAATGCGCTCTGTAACGAACCTTTGCAGTGGGACGAGAACACATCCACCTCCAGTTCGCCTCCCCGTTACGATACCAGTTCAACGGTCTCCTGTGAAACCAAACACAAGACGGTGATCGACTCTGTATGAAAATGTTAGCGGCCTGTGAACAGATACCGTGTCCTGTTTTGAGCCACCTGAAGCCTCGCTCTCTGTACTGGCTGACGTAGTACTGCAGGTCGGCCTCCGTCAGCACGGAGCTCCGGGGAATCTGCTCCGGCAGACCCACAAACAGACCACCTGTAACGGGACGTGTCAGTATCTGCCGGGCTTTTTAATGAGCTCTTCAAATATCATTCGGGATGAAGTCCCGGCTCAGACTTCAGGGTGGAGGCTCACCTCGAGCGCAGACTCCTGCGGTGCTGACGGCAGGACGCTTCGCCTGAAGACGGAAACGCAACATTTCTTATGTGACACGAAGGGGATTTTTCTGCCTGTGCGGACTGGACTCGTGCGTGTGTGTCTACTCACCGCTTCACCGCTGCTGAAAAAGAAAATCTTAAAGGTCCTCTCCAAGTCTTTCTCCAGCTCGGCCTCCGCCGCGCCCTGCAACACACACAGGTGGACACTTTGCGTTTAGGTGGACAGATCCAGAGCTCTATCGTCATGCGAGTCCCACAGTCAAATCTCTGGCTCGTCTTCTTTAGCTGCCGTCTAGAAAAACACAAATACTTTGGTTTATTTAAATGATCCTTTTCACATTTCTGGTTGTGTCCAGATGAACTAAACTAGATCTAAAGTGTCTGTCAGTGAACTTTAAAGCTGTCTTCTGAACTTTGGACAGAGCCAGGCTAACAGTTTCCCCCCGCTTCCAGTCTTTATGCTAAGCTAGGCTAACCACACCAGGACATACACATAATGTTACTGAAATTCTTCACTCTCATAAAAAGCTGTGAATCTGGCTGGACAGCAGTCTCACTTTTACTTAAGTGAAGCTTCTGAGAAAGGAAGCAGGTGCTTCTCTTCCTTTAATGTGGGACTGTTGTTTTGTTTCTCCTTTCTGGAAATAAGCAGTCGTTTTGGAGAGTGGTTAAATAAACCGGAGCCAGAATCTCCTCTCTTCTCACGTTCTGGGCCTTTAAAGCGGGAATTCATTCGGTCGCAGGAATGTTGATGAATATTCACTGTTTTTATCAATATTTCAATCTTGTGGAAGCTTTGTTATTTGGAACCCAGAAATAGTGTTTTGAAGAAAACTCCCAATACAAGTGAACATATAAACAGTAAATAAGGCCAAAACATGGACATTCGCTGCTATATTTTAGGAAAAGTGTGTAATAACTGTTGTGTATTAGTTTCTTTTCATCACATTTACAGTTACAGCTGTATTCTTGCTGTGTTAGAAGATGTTCTGTTGAATTCTAATGAGCTGGATGATGGTTTGATGGTGATTTTGCTATTAAAATATAGATTTTATTCCAGGTGAGGATGAAAACATCATATTTTCCTTGATTGCATCTCCATTTAGTCTTTAATGGACCTTTCAAAGGAGACCAGAATTCTGCATCTAGGCCAAATGGTTGAGGAGTTTTTCCTGATTCCGGTTTGTTATTTGAGGCGTTTTTCTGTTTCCAAGAGGTTCAGTTGTTCTCCGCCACTGAAGAGTCAGACAAAGCCTGTTGGAGACGGAAGTAAAACTAACTATTACCAAGGGAGGTTTTCTGAAGTCTGGGCTCGTTGTTTAATGTATAGAAAGAAAGAAAGAATGAAAATATTCTTTTTTAAAACAAATGTGCTGCTTCATTTCTGCAGGATGTTTAGATTTCGTGCTCCTTATTTTATTGTGGCAGCTTTTTTCCTTTTACTGCTAATGTGCTCAGATTTGTTTGTTTTGTTCCTCATTGATTTTCTGTAATAACTCGTCTTGTGTTGCATTATGTTGTGTATCTGCTGGAAAACCAGCACAGCTGGAGACTCAGCCAGCAGAACACAACGCTGACACATCATCACCTTCTAAATATGAAACACTAGCTGACAGACAGTTGCCTGTTTGCACATGTGCAGTCATACATTTATATGTTTGTTTTTAACCCTTCCTTTTCTCTTCTAGCTGTCAGATAACTGTGAAGCAGCTGGTCTCTGACAGAAAGGGACAGCAGACGAAGATCTCATCATAATGGAATAAAGAGCTCAGCCTGTCGGCTCACGATATAACGTGCCGTGTGTCGTCTGTCGTATAAATATAAAGCCATCGTTGTGTTCACCAAACAAAGATCTGAACTGATCTGAAGTCCCGCCTGTGTCAGCGTGTTAGCATGCTGCAGACAGACTTACAGGTTTCTGGAAGTAGAGCTGGTAGTCAAATCTGGGTTCAGCCTTCAGTCTCTCTGCAGGAGTTACAGAAGGATCGGCGGGGAACAGAGGAGTGTTCAGAGACGCCGCAGCGCTTCACACACAACAACAAACAGGTTTTACTACAGCATCGAGCATCTGGGAGGCGCACCTGAACCTGTGCGTGTGCTCACCTGACTCTCTCAGGATGATACTGAGCCATGGTCCACACCAGAACGCCGCCCCAGTCGTGACCCACCAGGGTGACCTGAGGTATCGCCTGGAGAAGATATTATAGATCTGGGTTCTCCATCAGAACACGACGCGGACGACAAACTGAGATAATCGCCTGAATATCTGCAGCAAGTTTAAAGTCTCTGCAGGTTTATTTTGAACTAAAGTGAAGAGAAACTTTCAGACGTTACTGTAAATTAATGTCACTGTTTCTGGACTAAACAAACTTCCATCAACTCTTTTCATCATTTCAGTTAATAGAAATTTGTGCCGCTGAGGTAAGAGTGCGTGTGATATGTTATTACTCACCATTTTGTCCAGAAATGTGATTAAATCCTTGAAGAGAGAGAAAACCTTTAATATTATTCTGTGTAAGCTGCATTACTGTTTGTGTGGCGGTGACACGATAACAAACAGAGGGAGAGATGGTTAAATCTGGTTAAATACAACCATTCTGTCACATGATGTCACACTAAACCATTAAAGGCTTAAACAAGTCGACCAAGAACAATAAAAAATGCCTTCATGAAGCTAAAAAACTAGGCTTTGCTTTGGGAAACGCTTTGTTTACTTTCCGATGATGTAAAAACATGTAAAACCCTGAGGTCACGTGGAGCAGCGCAGTCATCCTCAACACTTAATGTGTGTTTCAGTAAATGTTTCTCTCCTTTTGTTCAGTGAAACCATGAAGATGAGCGTGTGTTGGTGAGTTTGTACCTGGCAGAGCTGCTCCTGAGAATATTCCTCTGTGTCTGTCGGCGGAGAAACGACAGGTAACCAGGTAAGAACATGAACCTTCAGAATCTGCTGGTTGTAAAATGCTTTTTATACACAGTAAAAGGTCAAAATGGAAAAGTCCTGACGCCAGACGGAGAAAATACTCCACTGCAGGTAAAAGTCCTGCATTCAAAGCTTCCTTTAGTAAAAGCATGTAAGTTTTATCAGCAACATGAACTTTAGCTCTTTTACTGCTGGAGATGTTGAAGGTGGAGCTGGTTTTAACTCCTTTCTCTCCTGTTGGGGATTTAGTCTACAGCAATGCATCACGTCCCTCTGATCATCTGGGAGGTGTTGATACTGTTTGTCTGGCTATATGAATAATGGCTGTATCCTCATCTTCTCGCTCAGAAAGCCTTTCCTTCTCAGGTTTCTTCTTCTGTGACTGTGAGCGAGGCCCTTTTACCCTCTTAACCTCTAACTTAGACACATTAGACGCAGCAGCTTTTAGATTGTTTTAGTAGCAGAAAGGAGCAGAAAAAGTGCAGAACAGCCCTTTTTCATGTTTGACAGGAAAGTGAGGAGGTGAATCAGACGCACCTGTGAGGCGAGGGAAGGGGAAAGGAAACACAAGTTAGAGTGAGAGCGACTGAAGGAGGAGAAAAGTCTTTGTGGACATCTCCCCTCATTAAATTAAAGCTCTCTGGGCAACAATGTGCTGCAGGACGTGTGCTGATCCCTGGAGCGGGTTTGGATGGATCTTCTTCTTCTCTGTCTTTGAGCTGCTCCACGTGGACTGTGGACTTCCTGGTCTCTGCCGGACCTGCAGAAAGTGAAGTCTCCTTCCCTGCAGCTCTTCTCGTATCGTCCCGCCTCAGGTTAATGTGCGTCACCTCGTCTTCTACCGTTCAGCCAAACTCAGTCCACGTTTCTGCTCATTGTTTTTATTGACATGATTATTTGGGTTCAATACAAAAGATTTCCTCGATGATGAAGCTGAAGTGCTCGTGTTTTCTCATGTCACTGTTTTTAAAGTCATGTTCAGGGTTCTGATTCTTATGATTATCAACTCTTATTTGGAATATTTGGACAAACCTACACGCAACAATTTAACTCTAGATTTCCATGTTCTTGGATTAATATTTGACTTTTTCTCCAGATATTTCAGCCCGTCGTCGCCATATTTTAGTAAATATATAAAGTTTAGTTTCTATTGTGAGATATTTAACCGTCCTCGGACGTTTATATTTTTATTTCCTGTGTATGATCTGCACCTGTTCTGCTGATCTTTTGATTCTGCATTTATTTGACTACATTTTGTCTATTATACGTGTATCTGTTTAACTCTCATGGAAACATTTTTACTTTATCTTTTGATTATTTGTAATTTAAACTTGTTTCCATTCAGAGGAGCAGGATTTTTGGTTCCACGTTAAAAAGAGCGATTTAGTGTTGACCTTTGACCCACACACACCTGGGGGCGCTGTGGACTCTCCGTACCCCTTCATGTCCAGAGCCAACACCCTGAACCCTGCTGCTGCCACGGCCGGGATCTACCAGAGAGAGGAGAGGATGTTCAGGCACACGAGTGTTTGCTTTTAGTTTCAATATATAAACGTGTACAACATCCAAACTTTCAGGTGAAATCCAGTCTGAACACGTTACCTGGTACCTCCAGGAGTACCAGCTCTCAGGGAAGCCGTGACACAGCAGAACTGGTGGACCTGAGCCCATTTCAACATAATGAGTCCTCACACCAGGCTGACGCACACACAGAGGAATTATCATTAATGTCACGAGAAAGCAACGTTTCAGCTGCGTCTGACTTCCATCATTTCCTAAACAGACAGCAGGAGGAGAATTCTGTGTTGACCCCGATCCAGATCTTTACCCCGATGGTGACGTAACCATGAGACACTTCATCTGGGCTGCAGGAGGGCGGAGGACTCTCTGCTCCAGCAGCCTGAAACACATGGAAGTGTGGATGTTAGCGTGCTGATGTTAGCGCAGCAGCTGTCTGAGGTCAAACTGACTGATTCAGGCAGCAACATGACCTTTCCTCTGGCACCAGCTGCTGCTCCTGCATCACCCGCCGGTTCCAGCTTCTATGCACTAAAGCCTCATTTCTCTTTTCTTTACCTTAAAGACGCAAATTCTGTCATGATGGGGGGCAGCGGTTCCCGAGAAACGTGGAGTAAACAACAGCTAAATGAATGAATGTGGGAAAGCTGTGATGCTGCGAGGCTGTCAAGATTCAGGTTAGCAAAATGAAATGCAAACAACAAGATGGAGAAGTTACAGAGTGAAAAAGCTCCTAGATCACCTTTTCTTTAGCTTTTTGTTTCTCTCACAGTATAAGATCAAATAGTTCCGGGTCACACCTGAACTCCAGTGAAGTCGGCCAGTTTGTCCAGAGCGTCGGCCAGATTTTCCACCAAGACGGCCTTCATCCCCGCTCCCTCTGCTGCCTTCACACCTTCCTCATCTGCGTCCAACCACAGAGCCTGAAATCAGACCGACAGGCTGAGCGCGCTGTCCCGGACCAGGATTTACACTCGTGTGTGTGTGTGGGCGTGTCCTCGACCTGCTGCGATGTCACTCCCAGGTGCCGCAGAGCAGAGCTGAACGCGGAGGACTCGGGGACCCTGTGACCCGAGCGGCAGGACTGGAGGACCTGGTCAAAATGGCCGCCCAGCAGAGACAGAAGGCGGGCTGGACCGTCTCCAGCCGCGCTGTCATCTAGCCAGTGATTGGCCAGCACGGCCGTCAGTAACCCTGATGGGATGGAGGCGTAGAATCAGCCTTTGGTGATGTCATCGGGCGCCACAGCTGTGTGTGTTTCCCGTGCAGATGTGTTGATGCATAGTTACCACGGTGACGCAGACCGGCGGCTGCCTTCAGCACGGCTGGTTGGACGTCCATCATCGCCTCCCTGAGCTCCTCCAGCAGGCCTCTGACTGACCAATCGGACGGCAGAGTCACACCCCTGACCTGGGCCTCCTTCACACACTCCGCCTCAAAGGCTGCGATCATCTACACACACACAGAGGATGGAGGAGGCAGTAAAGGGCCCATCCAAGGACTCTTCTTCACCTCCATGTTCAGTCACCTTCAGTAACAGCGAGGACAGAAGACATCAAATAAATCAAGAGATGATTTTGACCTCACCCACCTGAGACAGGGTCACCTCACCTCTCTCCGCCCGGCTCATGGCGCTGTCCCTTCGGGACGCCACGGCGGACAGAAAACCACTGAGAACCACAGAGAGACAAACAAGATGAAAGACGTGAAAAGAAGCGAGTCCACGTGAATGAGTCAGTAACATTAACACGAGTCTGTCTGGTGGCTTTAAAGGAGGTTAAACATGTGACAGATGCCACAGATCAGAGTTCGAGTGCTGTTTGTGTGGAGTAATGAAACCACAGGAGACTCAGCTCACACACACTGTGTCTTCACCAGCGCTGCACACTTATAATCTGCATCTAGTTCAGTCTGCAAATATAGTGAAGGCTGAGCCTGCACCTGATTGGATGGCACAGCTGATACAGTATATGGCCAAAAGTAAATGGACAGTGAGTATTTTACTTACTCTCATCTTCATTCGCAGACACTTTTATCTAAAGCAGCTTTCATTTGGGGTTTCAGTGTCTTCTACATGTGGACGTCCGGGTCAATAGTGCTCCTTCAACTCTGTGTCCCTTTCCTGTTTCTACATGGCAGCGCCCCCGTGCACAAAGCAGCTCCAGAAAGAAACTGTTTGCTTGATTAAAGGATAGAACATTAAATTTATGGAGCAGATTAACAATTATTAACAACTTTGCAGCCATCTGTGTAAACCAGATTCTACAGTACTGTTGCAGATGTACATCTCAAATTAAAATGGATGGAAGCTGCCAAAAAGAAATTTACTCCCACATTTTTTATGAGCCATCAGGGGGAAGTTTTACAGCTTTATTGAGGACTGAACTGTTAAAGTCCAGAAGGAAGCTGGTGACTGTTACTAGTTTGGTAGATGTGAATGGTGCTACATATTTAACCATTTAAGACAGAAGGCAGAGCTTAAAATAAGTGAACTGTGATCCCTGTAACACAAAAACAATGTGACTGATTCATCTTTGGCAGTGACCTATTAATCATGGGGGTTCAGCTGTCCATTTACTTTTGGCCATGTAGAACCTGCTGTCTGATCTTGTTTGCAGTTGCACAATGTGTTACAGAGTAACAGCAGTGTTCTTCTTTTAATAAGATTCATCAAACCTCTGCCACACCGACACACTCCAGGCACATTTCTTTCCTGCTTGGACAGATTATTTAACAGGTTTTAGAGATTTTAACGCAGGATGCACCGCAGTTTCCCTAAAACACCGAGTCATATTGCGTAATTTTTTACAGTGCAGAGATGTTGTCTTACCCAGGCAGGTGATGCAACTCCTCCAACCTGCGGAAAACATCACGAGGGCTGGAAGAGACAGCAACTCCCCAGAAGTTGAACAAGACGGCTTTCCTCTCAGCCATCTCCTCTGAGCCTGAGTGAAAGGAGCTTTAATGTTTCTGTCTCTGTCGTCCAGCAGGAATGTGTTTTCTCTGCTGCTGCTGCAGGAAGGCTCTGCTCACGCAACAGGGGAAACTTTGCCCTTTGCACGGACTAACAGAAGCTCCGCCCACTTATCCTGCAAGTTCAGGCTTGACTGGGAGAAGGGTCAAAGTGAAACTTCTCTGTGCCAATATGCAAACATGCGGAAGAGGATTAGGGCCACGTGTGATTTTTTTTTTTATTCTGAGATTAAAGTCAGAATAATAATCCTCTTCCGCACCTTCACTGTCTGTACCTCTGTGTATATCGTGCAGGCTGCCTCTCTCTCTCTGGGTGAATGGCGGAGTTGCAGTGTGGTGCAGTGAGTGAATAACATTTCTACGTGTTCATTTTCTCTTCCGTGTTTCATATAGTTCCTGATAAAAGTATCTGCTAGATGTTCAGGTGTTTTTTGGCTTCGCAGCGTGTTGCTGCGGGCCTAGTCGGTCAACATGCCCGTTGTGGAAGGTGGTGCAGAGTTTGAGCAGCTGACACGCCGTCATGCTATCAAACTGGTGCCGGCTGCACAGTGCTCTGTAGAGGTGGGGGGGCTGCGGCAGCGTCAAGTCTGCCTCCTGCATGAATGGAGCCATTGTTATACTTTTGGACAGCACGGCCAAAGTTAGTGATGTGGTCGAAACAGGTGTAGTTATTCATGACACTTTCACTCCCGTTCTCCCGCTGGTTAGTCATTAAAAATGCCGATCAAAATGGTTTCTTTGGGCTGCAGATCCCCTTTGCTCAAACATGTTGTGTGTCACCGGAGGCAGGTTTTCATGGTTCTTAATGATAACACTGATGAGCTCAGTCTGTCTTTTAACTTTAAAGTAGACTGGTTTAGTTACATGGTTTTTGCCTCGTCAGAGACCATGAAGTATTTTGGTTGTGGTGTGGAAGGACATTTGATTCGTTCCTGCCCAGAGAGAAGGGGGGAGCAGCTGATGTTGCTGGAGAGGGGGTGTCGGGGGTTCCGGCCCCTCCGGAGACTTACCGGGGCTGGACACCACTCAGGCCAGGCTCCCGAGGAGGGGGACCCCCCTGTGTGCTCTGGCGGTGATAGTCAGCAGACTGAGACGGGGTCAAACAAAGAGCAGAATAAACAGACTGAGTGTCCCAACAGTTTGGAAAACACTGATCATAAAGAATATTTTGATGTGCGTGATAATCTGTCAGTGTGTGAGGACAAGAGATGTCTGATGATGACATGTTAAAACTATCACAAAAAAGGAAACTTTCAGAACAGGTCCATAGCAATGCAAAAGCCATCAAAATAACTACAGGCACAGAAGCTGGGACATCTTTAGAGGGGCCAGAGAGTGACCCGGCAGGACCAGCAGGATCGGTACTCCCCTGCTGATGTCAGGAAGTTCCTGCAGAAAACTAAAGGTGCCAGGCTTGTGAAAGTGGAAGACCACTTTTTGGATCTGAAACTATTTGTTGAGTCAGTTAAGTCTCTGACAAAAAGATCAGGAAACTTTGAGGATGATGTACTAACAGACCAGGAAATCTATCGTTTAAAGAAACTGGTACTCAGAGTAAAAGCACAAATAGCTGATAATGTTTAAACAAAAAAACTTGTGTTTCTCTCTTTTCTTGTTTCCTCTCGTTCTCTTCTTTTTCTCCGTGTGTGATTTCAACAGAGGCACTTTGAACCTAAATGGAGGGATGATGTTAAAAGAACTGCTTTTTTTAAGCTGACGGAGCTGAAGAAAATAGATGTGATGTTGATTCAGGAAACACACAGTAGTACAGATAATGAAAGTGTCTGGAGGAGTGGGATTTGTGTTTTCCAAGAGTTTTGTACCTTCTTCCTATAAAGTAGAGAAATTATTGAGGGTTGTTTATTGAAGGTTGAAGCTCAATTTGAAAATGTTAACCTGGTGTTGGTTAATGTTTATGCAGAAACCAGTGGAGCAGGCAGGTTAGCGGTGCTTAATGTTCTGTGTGACACCATCCAGAACTGTAATAGTGATGAGTATTTGTTTTTAAGAGGGGATTTTAATTGTACTGAAAATCCAAAGCTTGACAGGAATCATCAGGAGCCTCATCTTAATCACAGACAGTATACCTGGAGTCACTGTAAAGACAATGTGTTATCTCTGGCCAGGCTGGATCACCTGTACTCTTTTTAAACACCATGCGAACATTTTTTAAAGCTGTCACATTCACCCAGTGGGCTTCTCAGATCACTTTCTTGTTGTTTGCTCTGTTTTTATAAAGAGTGTCCGTCTAAAAAGCTCTTATTGGCATTTGAACACGGCCCTGCTTCATGACAAGGCTTTTGGAGCAGCCTTTGAATATTTCTGGGTTAACCACAGAATTTGTAAACCCAATTTTACATGTGTTCAACAGTGGTGGGATTTTGGTAAATCTCAGATTAAACAGTTGTGTCAACAGTTCTCTTGTAATGTCACTAGAGATGGAACCAGATCTATGAGGGACCTGGAGGCTCAGGAGGTAGAACTGCAGGGTTTGGTAGTTTCTACAGGAGATCGAGGGCTTTTAGACTCCCTTAAATCTAAAAAGTCGGCTCTGTCCAGCCTGCCGGGCACTGCAGCGCAGGGAGCTCTGGTCAGATCACGCTTCCTCGACGTCACACAGATGGACGTTCTCAGTTCTTTTTTGGTCTGGAGAGGAAAAATAGTTCACTCTCTGTGATCTGACAGTGGCTCTGCAATCTCAGACTCTTCTGAGATTAGGAAACTTATAAAGATCTGTTTACGTGTGAACTGACAGAAAATCCAGGTTTGTGGAGCAGCTTCTTCACTGGTCTTCCTCAGGTGGATGCTGAGGCCAATGTAAAGTTGGAAGCTCGCGTTTGCCTCAATGAACTGCACACTGCTCTGATGAGTTTGCAGGGTGGAAGAGCTCCTGGCCTAGACGGTCTCTCTGTTGATTTTTACAAGTCCTTTTGGTCGGTGTTGGGTGAAGACTTGTCGGAGATTGTCACAGAGAGAGGTCGGCTGCCTCTGAGCTGCAGGAGGGCGGTCATCACTTTGCTGCAGGAGCTGAAGAACTGGAGACCAGGTTCCCTGCTCTGCACAGACTATAAAATACTGTCCAAGGTCCTGGCCACCAGACTTGGAGAGGTGATGGCTGCTGTTATCCATACTGATCAGACATACTGTGTGCCCGGCAGGCTCATGAGTGACAATGTTACTTTAATTTCGTGATGTTCAGGAGGTCTCCAGCTCATTGGCTGTAGACCCTGGTCTGATTTCCATAGATCAGGAAAAGGCTTTTGACCGGGTTGAACACCAGTATCTATGGCAAACTCTAGCTGCCTTTGGGTTCAGCCCAGGCTTTATAGCCCAGATCCAGGTTCTGTATAGTGACATTGCAAGTGTTCTATAAATTAATGGGGGTCTGAGTGCTACTTTCGGTGTTCAGAGGGGGGTCAGACAAGGCTGCCCTCTGTCTGGCATGCTCTATTCTCTGGCTACTGAGCCTCTGCTCCATAAACTAAGAAACGATCTGAGTGGTGTTTGTTTTCCAAACTGTGATGTCTCTTTCAAACTGTCGGCGTACGCTGATGATGTCATTGTGCTGGTTAACACACAGAAAGACGTTGATATGTTGGTGAACTCTGTAAATCTGTTTGGCTGCATATCTTCTGCTAAAGTAACCTGGGGGAAGAGTGAGGCTGTCATGGTGGGGGAGAGGCTGAGGGATCGGCTCAGGTTACCTGGAGGTTTGGTGTGGGGAAAAATGAGGACTGAAATATCTGGGAGTTTTTCTGGGAACTGAAATGTTTGTGCAGAAAAACTGGAACAATGTCTTGGAAAAGGTTAACGGTCGGCTCATGAAATGGAAATGGCTCTTACCTAAAATGTCCTACAGAGGTTGCACTCTTGTGATCAATAATCTGGTCTCTTCTGCTCTGTGGCACCGGTTGGCTTGCATTGATCCCCCAGCTTCTCTTCTGGTAAAGATCCAGAGGGTTTTAGTTGATTTCTTCTGGGACAGGTTGCATTGGGTACCTCAGAGTGTCCCGTTCCTTCCTAAGGAGGAGGGTGGACAGGGTCTAGTCCATCTGGCCAGCAGAGGCGCTGCCTTCCGTCTTCAGTTCATTCAGAGACTGCTCACTGGGCCGACAGACCTGGTCTGGAGACCTTTATCCTGCTGCATCCTGCAGCGGTTTGGTGGTCTACGGATGAATCTATGTTTCTGACAGACTGTAAGGGGTTGAGCACATCATCTCTGCCAGCTTTTTACAGGAGTATTTTCTCAGTGTGGACTTTGCTGAGGCAGCAGCAGGCTGACTCTCTGTACTGGCTCCTACAAGAGCCTGTGCTGATTGGAGGACTCTTGGATTGTCCTAGCTGGGGGGGACCCACGCTATCCAGAAGTCTTCACACTGCAGGGGTTTCTACTCTGGGGAAGGTGGTGGAGCTAGCTGGGCCTCGGTTGGACGACCCTGTTGGATTAGCTGATCGGCTTGGATGGTGGAGCGTGAGTGCTCTCTTTTGGTGGACTTTTCTGTTGGAACCCTGCTGCCAAACTGCACTGATCTCTATCCTGCCATTAGGCTTTTTCCTGGTTTTAAGAACTGTTCTGGTTTTCAACTTGAGTTTGTGGACCCTGTAGGCGCTTCTTTGGGGGACGCCTCAGGAAAGACTCTCTATAAACTGATGGTGAAAACTTTGAATCAGAGAACACTGAGTGGACGTAGTGACGCCCCATGGAGGGTTTTTCTGGACTTAGATCCTGACTTTAAAGCAGCCTGGAGGTCTTTGTACAAAGAAACATGCAGACCTGCAGTGGAGAATCCTTCATGGCAGTGTAGCGGTGAACTCTTTCATCTCTGTTATTAATGCTGATGTAGAAGAAAAATGTCCCTTCTGCAGTGAGAGAGAGACGGTGTTTCACTGCTTCTCAGAGTGCATTCATCTCACTGATTTGTTTGTGCTGTTGGAAAATATTTTCCATAGATATGGAGAAGTTTTTACAAAGCAGATTTTTGTTTGTGGTTTTAGATTTAGATACACTCGTCGGCAGAAGAACAAATGTTACAGCTATTGAACTTTGCCTTAGGACAAGCAAAGATGGCGGCGTATATGACCCGGAGACGGA